ACTCAGCCCACCAAGGAGTATCGGGAATGACAGCCAGAGCTCAAGCCACTGTTTTCTGGCCAGATATCACTCACAGCATTATAAGTAAGCGCGATAACTGTTGCAGCTGTAATCGAAATGCACCTTCTAATGCACGACTACTACCCATCCGACCTCACATCCCTGTGACACCATTTGAATGCATATTTGCTGACTATTTTGAATTCCGTGGCTGAAATTATCTGGTCATTGAAGATTTTCTGGATGGACCGAAGCCTACATAATAAAATCAAGAACATCAGAAATGAGTGCAAAAGGTCTTATCACGTGCTTACGTAAACTATTTACAACATTTGGAGTCCCAGAAGAAATTTCAACCGACGGTGGTCCTCAATTCACCTTTGGAGAGACAAAAGAGTTTCTATAACAGTGGGGTATAACTCATCGCATTTCATTAGCTCACCACCCACAATCTAATGGAAGAGCTGAGCTTGCAGTTAAGTCAACAAAAGGCCTCCTCGAAAATAATATGGGACCAAACGGTGATCTCAATAATAACGCTTTTGTGAGGGCAATGCTTACAATAATTAACACACCAGACCCTACTTGTCAGTTATCCCCCGCTCAAGTATTATTTAGCCATTCCATTCGCGACGCCATTCCCAGGATAAAATCCAGAATACCTACGTTTAATAACAACCAATTCTCGAAAACACAGAGACATGCATGGTCTGCAATAGAAGAAGCATTACGAACAAGATATGCAAAGACCTTTGAATCACTTCAAGAACACACGGTACCACCACTACCTCTACCAACAACTCCAGTACCCTTACCGTTGATGCCAGCATCTTTATCAACAAGCTCGCCGCATCTAGCAATGCCACCCTTATTGCCGGTATAATACGCGGTAGTGGTAGAGGTAGCGGTACCACTACTACCTCTACCAACAACTCCAGTACCCTTACCGTTGATGCCAGCATCCTTATCAACAAGCTCGCCGCATCTAGCAATGCCACCCTATACTGAAGTCGTAGGAGATCAACTATTGAAACGTTCATCCAGGTTACGTATCTCCAAGAAATTCTACCAACTAGAAACTGGAAAATCTTTGACATTAGATGATTTTAAGAAATGAACCCAGAAATTATGTTTATATTCATTGACACTTGAAAATATGGAAGGGGATGTAGAAATAGTGACATTAGTCATTTCTTGTTTTTATATTGTTTTATATTGTTGTTGCTTACACTTATTGTTATTTCATTTAGAAACTAACATTGTTTAAGATATAACTATAATTGAGAATAACGACTAACTTTTGTTTAATAATCATGCTAAAATTCTTGTTATTGTAGTTAGTTTTTTTTTTTTTTATAAGATTCTCCTCGTCGCCCCCCGGTTTATCTAGCGTCCTTCTGAAATAATCGACTTTAAATCGAAATGGAGCATGTTGGAGCAGCCAGAAATTTTATATTTGTGTACTCAATACATTTATAATAATGCGGTAAAAAATTAGTAGTGGACAAAAATGGACATATTAAGTTTTTTCAGTTTTTGTGATCGCATAAATTAATACTTCAAAGTTTTACTCCCTTTTTCGAAAACATAAAATCAAAAGCTAAAAAATCGATTTAAAGTATATTTTTCGATTAAATCGGCATTAACAGTAGAATAAGATAATTAAATTTGAAAAAAGTGTTAGGATCTTATATAATGATGTTAAATTAATGAACTTAAAAACAAATAAAAATTTCGTTAATTATTCTCAAAAATAAAGTTTGTTTATTAGGCGCGAAAAGGTACTCGTTAAACTCACTGATCTCTATAATAACTGGATAGCGCATCTCCTAATAAAATTTCAAAATTTTTGAAGCCAAAAGACGCCATATTGGAAAGCCCCAGAATTTATAAATGCGTAGATGCGTTTAACTTTTATGCACTTAAAACACAAATTTCGCTTGATAAATAAAAAATGCAAAAACCTTATAAATGCATCGATTATTAAAAACCGAGTAAATCTGATGTTATATGTTCAGATTATTTCATGGAGAGTGACATAAATATACATAAATATATACACACACACACACACATATATATATATATATATATATATATATATATATATATATATATATATATATATATATATATATATATATATATATATATATACATATATATATATATATATATATATATATATATATATATATATATATATATATATATATATATATATATATATATATATATATATATATATATATATTTTTCAACAATTAAATTCCCTGACTTTTTATATTTTTCTCTGACTCAGTTATATTTTAAAAATTTTTAAGTGTGAATTTTTAAGTTTTGTTGTTTGGGAGTAAGTAAAAAAAAACCTTTAAAAAAAATTAAATTTTCAAAAAAGACATTTTCCCCTGATTTCCCCGACTAGAAAAAAATTCCCTGACTTTTCCATGATTTCCAGTTGGCTGGCCACCCTGGTATAATATTATTGTAATAGCATCTAAGTGTATATTAGTATGCACCTTTTGATTCTTAATTGCACTCTGCAAAATGCCTGAGGCTTGTAACATATTTGCAAGGTAAACAGCTTACAAGTTTGCTGTATGAATCATTAGTTAGGCAATGTAAGACAACTTAAAGGTTCCTTAGACAACATATAGCAAATCGTTATATTTACTTTTAATAATTTTGTTCTGGCGTGTGTGTGTATATATATATATATATATATATATATATATATATATATATATATATATATATATATATATATATATATATATATATATATATATAATTTAACTTAACGCTTAACAGTTGAAAAATACTTTCAAGACATTTCTGTAAATGCCATTAGACATTTTCACAACACCAGAACATTTGTATAGATATTACAATTACAAAAGAATATGTTAAAGTAAAAAAATATAAATAAAATAATAGTTAGCTCTATCATTTTGAATAAAATATTCATTGAATAATTTGTATAAGCATTGAATAACAAAATAAACATTGAATAAAAAGGTATTATGTGGTAGGGAAAAGTAAAAAAGTATGTACACTTAGAAAAAAATTGTTCACCTTTCATTTTGGTCTTTTATGTTGCTTATTTGTTTTCACAAGAAATATTTTTAATATTTATTAATTATACAACTAATATCTATCAGTATAAAACTGATAGATGTCAGCTGAATCATTATTATTTTACTTTAGAGTCAATAGTTTTAAAAAAACTTGAAAGAAACCATGTCTGTTTTCATTTATACCATATTTACATATGCACAATCAACATGTATGCGATACTGTTATTTTGTCTAACTGCAAATAACTAGTTATCACCAAATATCTAGTGTTTTTTAAAGTTAGAGATGGCTTTGTCAAACCTTCACAAAGTGTAATTAAAGTTAACAAAGCAACAGAACAAAACATTTTTATTAAGTGATATCAATTTAATAAAGTATTGCATAGTTGATGATATTTCAGTTGTGGAACAATATAAACATGTCCTCAACATGTCCTCAAAAATTAGAAAACCATTTACAAAAATATTTGATACAATGTTTTTATCATGTTTTATACTTGTAAAGTTACTTTCCAGCTACTATTGCTAAGAAAGGTCCATCAAGTTGTTAAAATAAACACCCAAAAGTAACCAGATTTAATATCAATTTGTCTTTCAGAAAATTTTTATTTAGAATATCATAAATTCAATAAATTTAACAAGTTCATAGAAAGCAATACAAATTTTATTATTTCTTTATAGCGATATTTCTCTTCGTCGTTAATGTTTTGCGTGTTTTTGATTCCCTTTTATAATTTTTACACCTTCAAACATTTTAAATATAATAATATCATTGAAATACGTGACTTGGTCGAGTAGATATAAACGAAGTAAAAAGGTACATCTTTAAGCGCAATCACTGTATTTTCGGTATTCTGGGGCTTTCCAATATGGCGGCCGTACAAAAAATTGGCTTCACTTTTGATAATAGAGATGCGCTATCCAGTTATTATAGAGATCAGTGGTTAAACTCATAAAACACGTAATAAAACTTATGCAAAATATATTTTCCTGTTAATACATAAATATATGTCCTTAATTATCAAAATAATAATTATTTTGAAATACTTTTGAAAATCGACTTTTGGACACATTTTTGCCATTTGGACTCATAGGGCAACGAGATCCAATTAATATGGATCAACATTGACCAAATATGTATGTACTAACGTTGATTTAATGTTTATACCCAATATAAATCGAATGTGTATGGATTAAATTTAGATTATAAACAGTTTTAAAGTTTATTTAGTTAAAAGTTTTAAAAATTTAAATCGTAACAATTTTAAAATTTAGTAAGAAATTATAAACTTGTTACGATTGCAACCAATTTAAGACGTAACAAAACTTTAAAATGTTTTAGTGGAAGTTAGCTGAGATTTTATACTCTTTGAAAGTTTTATACAAAATGATTGCTGAATCTGGTACATAAACCATATCTTTAGAAGCACTAGATTTTACTGTTATTTAATCTGATTTTAACAGGTAGCCAAATTAAATGCGACTTTAACATAGTATGATAAAATCTTTTCATCATATAAGCAGCAAGAACAAGGAGGAGGAGGGGGTGGGGAGAGGTAGAGTGATTTATCAGTATCAATGATTCCATTATGATTCCAAGGCTCAACAACTCTAAAAAAATTTTTCTATCTATTATAATATATACATTTCTCCTTCGAACTGTATTTTTTCTAGCTTTTTTGAACGTAAGGCAAAAGTTAAAAATTTTGTGGTTTTTGACCATAACTTCTTGAAAACCAAAAGTGTAACTATGTTGAATTTTATCAGTACCATAGAAGTACAGAAAATACAACCAAATGCAGCTATCATTTTCATGTTGCTAAAGTTGGCTGAATGGAAAAAAAACAACTTTATTTTTCTTTTCTATGTTAATTTTTTTTTTTTTTTCGAATTTGTTGACATATTATTTTTATTTTATTTTTAGGTTATTCAACCCTCTGCATTCTTCTACCCTAGTATGAAAGATATTCCTACGCTGTACGGTGATTCAATAACACGCACAATATGGAGATCGAAGCAGTCACTTGATTACGCTTTTCTTTTTTATTATTGCGCAGATCTTGCCCAGTTTTATATTCAACTTGAAGATGACATCATAGCTGAAGAAAATTATTTAGAAAAAGTTAGTGAGTTTATTAAAAATAGTGACGATTGGTCAATTTTAGAATTTGGTGCTAGAGGATTTATTGGCATGACGTACCGCAGCAAACACCTAAAATTGCTTTCTAAGTTTGTTCGTTTTGCTTACTGGACTATGCCGGTAGATTGGACTTTTCGTTATTTTAACGACTTATTTTTAAATGGGAAATCTCACAAAACTAAGTCACCAATTTTTAAACATGTTGGTCAATTCTCCTCATTAGATGGTCAAGTCAGAAATCTTGAAGACATAGTTGGTCATTCTGAACAGGTAGGTGTTCATATTTACCAATCCAAAGATGGCAATCCTAAAGCCGAAATAAAAACTTCAATGATTGAAATTGTTAAACCTCATGAAATAACCAATCCTTATGGTAAATCGGGCCAGTTTTGGTCAAAAAAGGTTAAAGTTGGTGACACTATCGACATTATTTTTGAAAAACTTACTAAAATATCAAAACTAATTATTTCAAGTGGAAATTCCCAACATCCTGCTGATATATTGTATGACACTGAACTTCTGGCAAGCATGGATCATTCGTGTGCAAAATATACATTATTAAAAACATTTTTTAATTCTAATATAGTTGAATATAACTTTAATGATGTGTCAGGCTTAGTAAAATGTTTGCAATTAAAAATACTAAGTACTGGTCACGATGAATATAATAGACCTACATGGTTGATTATTTCGGAGATTGCTGTTCTTTTATAATAGTATAAGATTATAAAAAAAAATTTTATTTTTAAAATTTTAGTTTTATTTCCTTGGTTTGTAGAAATATCTTTTTGCTTTAGGCAGAGACGATTTTAGAAATAAAATGAGGGGGGAGGGGGGGGAGAGGAATACTTAAATAATGCCAAAAGCCTTTGTAAACGAAACAAAAAAGATAAAGAGGGTTGAACGACCTAAAAATAAAATAATACCAAGTTTAAAATAAAAAACAAACTATAGGAAAATTAAATTATTATTTTTTCACATTAATTGACATTTAGCAACATATTACTTGCATAAAAGGGACTGGTAATAATCAAGTCATCAAAAATTAAATTTTGTTACCAATGCGTTTAGTTAGATAACCAATAATGACAGTGGTTTTAAGTCCTCTATAAAAAGTAATGTTTACTTTGTTTATTTTTTATAGTTTCTACTTATTGTATGTGAAATAAAACCCATGTGCATAAGTCCTGAAAGTAGCCTAGCAGAGTAACGTCTTTTTACATCCTGTTTGTTATCATTGGAATTAATAATTTTGATCTCAGATTTTTTTATTTTTTTTTGATATATTATAATTATTATTAAGTTTTTAGAAAAAAAAATATTCTTTTTTTTTTTATTCTTTTTTTAAAGATTTCTGGTCCGAACTGCATTCTATCCTTTATTGCTTTATTGTTATTATATCTTCTTGTTTATACTGTTTCTCTAATAATTTATACTTCCTCAAATGTTATATGTATATTCTCTAATATTTTAAAAACAGTTTTTATTTAACCAACCTATAAAAAGGTCTTAAAACCTAAAATCTACTATTTCCTCAACAAAACTCAGTGTTTGTTTCACCGGTTTTAGTTTTGCTTAAAATCTTACGCTACCAATGCTCATATAAACATTACTAAAATTATTTGTGGGACAGTTGAAAATAGTTCTATTGTCGATCGCATGATTTTTATTAAGAAACTATATTCCTAATTTTAACTTAAAATCCATCTATATATATTATTTTTATAAAATTAAATAAGTTTTAGAGATTAGACAAGTAAAAGTTTTCCCTTTTTGTCCACCTACTAGCCTACTGTGGTGCACGTACTTGCCCACTGTGATGTGCTGTGAAATGGTTTTGATTAAACGCTTACTAAATATTCAAAATTCGTTCAGAATTGATTCTAAAACGTACAGATTAATTTAAATGTCATTTAAATGCAACTTAATTTTAAATTAGCAAATGTCCTTCATTTTGAGGGTCTAATTTTATAGAATGACAGTATTATTTAAAAAAAGACAAATTTAGTATTACAATAAGGCATGCTATCGGAAAAATCTGCCCACTTTTTGCGGTGTGGTAAAGCTAGTTAACGGTCGTTTTTTGAAATTATTTTTTTGTGTGTGGTAGTGTTTGTATAATAGAACATTTTGCTGGAAAAAAATAATTTAAAATATTATTTAATTTCAAATTGTCAACCGAGCAAACTAAACAAAGATTTTTGATTGTGGACAAACACTTAAAAAATCCAACTTTATCGAATAGAAATTTGGCGAAATCATTAAATATATTAAGAAGAACTGTAGATACTGTTCTTAAACGGTTTACAGAACAGAAAACTATTCAGAGAAAACAAGGAAGTGGTTGAAAAAAACACACAGCAAATCCTAGAGCTCTCGAACGGTTGGAGACTTCATTGATAAAACATCCTGATAGGTCTGATAAATTTTGAGCGAAAAAACTGTAGGTTTCCAATTTTTTGTACATAAATGGCGACAGAGACTTGGATATCAAAGTTTTAAAGTAGTTAAATGCCAAATCACAACGATAAAAAAAATTCAACCGCAAAGAGTCGAGCTCGAAAGTTCTATGACAACTTGTTAACAAAACATAATGGATGCATTTTGATGGATGACGAAACTTATGTTAAAATGGATTTTAAACAAATTCCTGGGGAGTGCTACTATGCTTCTAAAATAATAGGAAATGTGAGTGATAAATACACGTATGTAATGACTGATAAATTTTCAAAAAAGTTGATGATTTTGCAGGCACTTTGCTCTTGCGGCAAAAATCGCCAATTCATGTTTGTTTGCGCACAGTGAAATTTTCGGAATACGTGAAATGTTGTCTTTCTCGAATAAAACGACTAATTAAAGCTCATAGAAGTACTTCAGTATTGTTTTGGCCTGATTTAGCCACAATACATTACTTAAAAGATGCTCAAAAGTTTTACAATGATAATAGAGTAATGTTGGTTCCGAAAAAGATAAATCCTCTAAACTGCCCCGAATTACGTCCTAATAAAAAATATTGGGCCATCATAAAAAAGAAATTAAAATTAAGTGGAAAAACAGTAAAATCAGCTACAGATTTGAAGAAAACATGGGGTTACGCTGCTAAAACTTACAAAAATCACTCTGTCCAGAAACTTATGGGAGTCATCAAAAAGAAAGTCAGAATTTCGGTAAAATTTTTTTTTTTTACCCTTTTAATATGTAATCTTTACAGTCGTAATTTTTCAGAAATATATTGATTTAAATATATTTAAGCTCTCTTACATCCTTTTTTGATCAAGAAAGGTGGGCAAATTTTTCCGATAGCATGCCTTAATTAGTATTATAATTAGCGATGGTGGTGTATTGTTTTACTTATAAAACAAAAAAATAACGCTAATGTCAGGTAAGACTAACTTTTTTCTTATGCAATTTTTTTAAAGGTGTTTTCATAGCTTTTTAAATTAAGCTAACCTTTTGCTATTTTGAAAATAGATATCTGCGTTGAAATTATATTTATTTTATAAACATTTATTCAATGGAGATACGCATATGCTGTGAAGTTACTTGGTAATAACTGGTGATGAGATATAAGCCCGTCAAAAGGCGTTCTTAAAGACTAAGAAATTAAGTTCAATATGTTCATGCGAGTATCTCGTAACTGGTTAATTTCTATAATTGATTAATATACCAGTGTTTACTTGTACAATGTTTACTTTCAGGGCTAAATAAGTCTATAAGAATGTTTTATTATTTTTTTGAGTCATTTTTTAAGCCGTTCTCTCTGAAATAAAATAACAAAACTAAACTTGAATTTATGTGCTAATTTAAATACTTTCAAACTTTATTAATACTTTTTCAGTTTTTTTATTATTAAAAACCATTCATAATATTACATATTATTAAAGGTTTGATATACTTGTGTAATTATCTGCACAACCAAGCGATGAAAAATATAGATTAATGTTAATGTACCAAAATATTGCGTTTTTTAATAAATAAAGACATTTAATACAGACACATTTTTATTCAACAATTGAATAATTAATAACTCATTTAAAAATTAATAATTTAATACTTGTATTACTATAGTTATATGATACTGGAAAATAGACAAATTATATCATTATTAGTTAAGTATACTGACAGACTACATGCTATAGCATTCCATAAAGCATTGAAGGCAAAATTACCACTATTATGAAACTTAATTATGGAGACATTAGGCTATGTGCATTGGGTATAAACGTTGGGCTTGTACATTTGGTTTGTTTTATAATTTATTTTTTAAAATCTTATTTAATTCATAATTGATTTTTTGTATCAATGATTGTTTTTAAAATTTCACCGTGTTAAATTGAACAATTTTCTAAAAATAAAAAGTTTCTTGATCTTGCATGATGTAACGGACCAAGAATACAAAATTTGAATCTTTCTTTTTTTAGAAACTGCTCTTAATCATAGTTTAGCTCATTCCTGATAACTTTTTATTGATTTATCGTCCTAAAATTAAAAGATTTAGTTTTTTATATTTTGATCGTACAAAATTTTTAAAATTAATTTTATCAAATTAGTACAAACAATGCAGTTGTTCTTTTTGTAGATTATCTTTTTGTAGATTACATCTCTGTTCCACCTCAAGATGTTGTTTAATTACCCAAGTTCCGGCATGAGTTTGAATCCTTGTTAATGGAACTTTGTTTTTTTGAAGATCATTCCAGACTAATGTTAGTTATTTTAATGAGCTAATTGTCTGAACCAGACATTTTACTACCGGGATAAATCTTGTTGAAGTGGGTTATATTTCTTTCTAAAATACATTCTACAGACGTCTACAGGCCAGGAGAAATAGCGGCCACCCAATCTTATGTGCCATTTTTGTTATAACTCTGTGGTACTTTCCAGTGTTGGTCACAGTAGTATCAAAGCATTTACACTGTATATGATGACTAAGGCAAAATGTTCCATTAGATTATAACTGGATTTTTTTATTTATTTACACTTTTGCCGATAAAAAAAAATTTACAGTCGTAACTTATAAAAAAAATGATTACATGACCGAGGCTAGAAGAAGACAAGTTTAGTCTTATCATTAAGCCCCAAGGGTTAGGGTTAGGGTTAGGGATTGAATCGCATGTCTTCAAAACCTGACTAAATATGAGGAATGGCTAGTAGCTCACTCTTCCTGTATAGTTTCACTAGTACAGCTAATCTTTCTCTTGTGGCTGAAACGTTATCTGTATGCTCTTTAAATAACTTTTCGTCAAAATGAACAGAAATGAGCTTACATGTGGAATTTGTCAAGTCTTTAATATACTGTCTAACTTTATAAACTTCTGAACTTATCAATTTTAAATCAGCTAATCAAGCTTGAAGCTTTATCTACAGCTTGAGATGATGATTTAAATAAAACAAATTAATTTATTTTCTTTTAAGAGATAGCTAAATTATTGCTTATGATTGCAGTTTGCTGGTTGACAGAAAGCCTTTTTTCAACAGCAGTTAGCGCTGTACGCTTTAGAATATATTTATATTCTAAAGCGTACAGCGCTAACTGGAGTATTATACCTAGTTCTTCTTCTTGGGTATTATCATTTAGCTCACTTTTAACAGAGATATTGCATTCTGATCTTAAATAATCAGTGACATCACTTTCTAAGCTATAAGATAAATGTAATCAGTGACATCACTTTCTAAGCTATAAGATAAATGTAATCAGTGACATCACTTTCTAAGCTATAAGATAAATGTAATCAGTGACATCACTTTCTAAGCTATAAGATAAATGTAATCAGTGACATCACTTTCTAAGCTATAAGATAAATGTAATCAGTGACATCACTTTCTAAGCTATAAGATAAATGTAATCAGTGACATCACTTTCTAAGCTATAAGATAAATGTAAATCTTCTTTTTCTGAAGATTTTTAAGATTTTTTTTTTCCAATCAATAAATATCAATATCAATATCACCAATCAATATCAAAATCACCTAGGTAACCTTGTCTTTTTTCCTTATTCACTTTCTAAAGCATAATGTCTATACATTAAGTTTATTTTGTTCTTTTTTTATCCATTGTTATTCATCAATCATAATTTTTATGTCATGTTCTAACCAAAATACCTTTTTAGATTCTATTAAAAAGATATCTCTATCCTTGATTGTTCCTGGTGTTAATCTGTTTTTAAGGGATTGCAGCTTTTTATATTTCATTATTAGATCCTCAACTTCTTTTCTAAAATTAATATTAATTAGATAACTATAATTTATTTACATTATGACATATATTTATAATTTATTTACATTCATAAAGACATCAAAAATAATAATAACCGTAAAACGCATTGTATGCTACAAACTCTGTATTTTCCGTATTCCCAGGGAGCCTTCAGCGTAGATATAATGCAGGAGTTCTCTTGCGCTTCTGGACAATTTGGTGTATATGTAGAAACTTTGTTAGGGCAACAAATTAAGGTTCTAAATTAAGAGAGAAACAATTGGTTTGAACTCTCGTATGTAAAGATAATATTGAACAATTTCTGCAACAGTTGAAAACTGAATAGATGACAGTGTCTTCCTAGTTTTTTTACTAAAAATTTTCTTTTCCTCGATTTTTTGTTTTTGCATGAATCTTTGACATAAATTTTTATTTTACTTTTATTGTAAATGAACTATAATAACATAAATTTAATTTTTAATTTCTCAAAATATATTTTACTAAATATTATGCAAGAACGAATAATATATTAAACACTATTAATTTAAACTCAACATTTTACAAATGCTAAAATTTTGTTTAACATTATTAAAATAGCAGTGTTGAAAGTTGAATATGGTTAATACAGAAGTACAATGGAACAGGGTTGCCATCTGGTGTTTTTTTAAGCCAGATTTCTCAAATCTGGTTTGTTTTTTTATCGTTTGGCTCGGAACTTTTGTTTTGGTTTATTTTAGAAAATCTGGTTTAAATCTGGTTTATTTATAGTCTTTGGTCTTTTTTTGGTATAGTCTTTCGTCTTTTTTTGTTTTCTCTGATATATTTTTTAAAATCTGGTTTAATTCTGGTTTATTTAATAATAAATCAATTTAATTAAGTTTTTGTTTCATGAAAAAAAGTTAATTTGAGGGAATAAAAGATTTCCATTTTTTCATTTTATAGAAGAACAATCAAGTTTAAAATAAATGGAAAGAATGCTTACATTAAAATCTTAAAACGTTAAAAACTTTTACTTATTATGTAATTAAAATGTTGTTTTTATCCCTTAATTGCCAAAAATATAAAAAAATTCTTACATTCAAAATTACATTTTTTTGTGAAAAAACTGCCTGTAACAAATGTTGTTTCTCAAGTTGAAAAAGCCATTTCAAATCTGCAGTTTCAAATCATTACAGAAATTGTCATTAATCATAAATTAATTGATATTGCATCATTAGAGAATTAGACCTCGGCAATATAGATGCTTAGTGCCATGGCTTTCTATGTGTTCTGTTTCTAACTATTTTGTTGAGTCTTCTCACAGTTCATCTGCATATAAATCAGACTAAGAAAATATCAAACCAAGCCTTGCATGCAGTTATTTGGATCAAATCATATTTAATAATGCAAAAGATTTTTTACTAGGACTTTGAAATAATTGAGTCAATTATTGGAAAGGTTTGAAAAGAAATCTATATTCATATGCAAGCGAAAAAAATTAATATATTTTACAGGTTGATAGTGTCGGATTTTGTATAGGTGTTTAAGAGTGAACTACTTTCCCCACGCCGCTTTGAAGGCTGGACGGGCGTCCCATAAAACAATCACTAAGTCATTCTTTTCTCACTCTCTTACAAATTAAATTTCAATATTCAAGGATGAAATTTTTAGATAAAAAAGCATATTTTCAAAATATATATTATAAACAAGACTTTAAAACAAAAAACTATGATTTTTTCTTTTTTTTTTTTTTGGTCTGGTTTATTTCTGGTTTATTTTTGTTTCATTTTTGACTTGTGCTCGAAAAAAACCTGGCAACCCTGCAATGGAATCACACTGCTGTCATAGAAACAGTGTATAAAAATAATTTATGCTTTTGAAATAATGAAAAACTTCGTTAAATTAAAAAAAAATCAGTATTTAGTTATTTTTAAAAACCTTTTTAATAAAGAAAACGTATACATATGTAGAAAGAGTGCCTAATTTTTTTAATAATATTTATTGTGAGAATAAATGTAAAAAAAAATTAAATTTAATAACGGTTAGGTGGCACACATGGGGTCAAAAAAGGCTTTGGGGCCGTGTGCCACCTTTAAATTTTTATTTTATTTTATTATTATTATTTTTTTCTTTTTAAAAGTTTGTTTCGCCATTTAAAAATGTTTTACAATGCGCAACTATAAAAAAAAAGAGTATGCAATTGGCTGGAGCAAGAAAAAGGCATTATCACGGAGCCCCAAAACGCTTCTAAATATCCATATCATATAAGCAACAGCATTTAAAAAAACTTTAAGATGTTAAGAAATAAAAAATGTAATAAAATAATTGAAAAAAACAAACAAAAAAAAAAAAAAAAAAAAAACAGAAATGTTTAAAATATAGTAATAAAAAATTTTCCGCTTTTGGTTATAAAATGAACGTAATTCAAAATTAAAATAATAAAATTTCTGTTGCAATATCATAAAACATGTTAAAGTAAATTGTAGGTAACTTCAAAAGTAAATACTTTCAATGGAAGTCTAAATAGTGGTCGTCCACAATTTGCGTGACGCAATTTTTTACCGTTTTAGACCCCCTTCCCCCTCCCCCTTTCTCCTTCCTTGTCACAACATCGTAATTTTTTAATTACAAGTTTCGTCACAAAACTACTAACCCCTCTCCCTCCCTAAAGCGTGACGAAATTTATGGACGAGTCCTAAAGACATTAAAATTCTTAATATTGCTTTTGTTCTTTTTTGTTAACTAGATTTTTAAATTTATGGTACTAATTTAGTTTAATAACTTCTAAATGTGACATACAAAATCTACTATATTAAAATACGTAAGTATTAAAAAAAAACGCCTTAATTTTGATTTGAATAGCGGAAATATTTATCCTCTAATTTTTCCACAAAAAGGTCCCCGGTACTGAAGAGTAACGAAGTTGTTTTCTGAAAACATCGTGGGATATTTATGACTTGCTTCTCTAAAATAAATACACAATATTGTTGGAGTCAATCCATGCTTTACTTTGGACATGAACTGTATGACTAGTAATATTCTAATTTTGAACAAATTTAATGCATTAAGTTTACCTAGAAGTGGATCACAAGGTATTGTTCATGTTGCTCCAAATACGTATTTGGAGCAACATGAACAATAAAATAAATAAAAAAGCAACATGAACAATAAAATTTTCAGTATAATTTTTTATAAAATAATACTAAACACAAAATGTTCAGTATTATTTTTTTTAACTTAGCGTAACTAGTGCTTGCCCATACATTATTGCCGTATGTTAAATAGCTATGTATAAAGGAAAAATTCTCCATGAGAATAAAACATATTTTATATCAACTTTGAATAACAAACTTTTTAAATAGTTTTTTAGTTTATTCAAATATATTTTTCCAAAGTTTGTAGATTGTTTCATTTTTATGTTTTTTTTTTAAAGAACTTTTCATACAACTTTTTTTTTCTTTAAAGATTTTAATGAATCTTTAGGCATCCAAGAAGCTTGATGTGACTTATAGTAAAAAACTGCAATGTTGCCTTATTGCTGATCTTTTGCGCATGTCACCATAAAGTAGGAATATATATATATATATATATATATATATATATATATATATATATATATATATATATATATATATATATATATATATATATATATATATATATATATGCATAGGGTGGGTAAAATTTTTTTTCAAGAAACAGCATATTGTGGGGGGTTCCTATATATGTGTGTAGGATGTATACGAATTTTGAGGTCTGTCAAGCCTCCGTTGGGGTCGCACACAAAATCGGACTTTTTGGCATTTTAGAGAAAAAGGGGGTATAAGCAACTTTTATATATAATTATTTTATGATTGTTTTATTTTATTTTATTTTATATAATTGTAATGATTTAGATATACCATAAAAATGTTCTACTAAAATACTGTTGAGGTATTTTATTAGAATAAGGGATACAAGGTGTTAAATAACGGATATAAGCTTTAAAACGTTTTATGATCGTGTACTACTTTTTTTAAGCAAAGAAACAAAACTTTTTGGAAAAAAAAAAAAAAAAAATAGAATGTAAAATTCTTATTGGCACCAAAAAGATGTATATTTTTATAAGTATCTTATTTTCATTGCGCTTTCCAATAAAATTTAGGCATTTTTTCCCTAGACTCCAACAGGTTTATTACAAATTTGTGACGTTTTTCGTAGCCATATCTATTTTCTGATACCTTTGTGACTACTCCAACTATTCTTTCTATATTCTGACCATGACAAGGGTACTTTGAGATACTTAATGGACTGCCATTGGCTTTTATAATATCTTCGTTTGAATAATCATTCAGTAAAGGTGGTGAATGAACTTCTTCGATGAATTTATTAGTTCAGAATAATCTTTGGCTCCAAGATTTAATGTTGTAGAAAGTTTAAAATGTCTATTGGATTCATTAGTATTCCTTGATTTAAGTATCCTTTGAATGGCTGTAGTTCTAAAATGTTTTCTTTCATAACTTATCATTGGCAATAAAATATTCTCTGTGTTAGAAAAATACGAGTTTTGCCTCAAAAAAATACGAGTTTTGCTCTATTACCTCCTAGCATTTCACTTGAATAACTGCATTATTAATTAATTGAGCAAGATACCAAAAATTTTGAGCGCCATTGATTGCCAAATAATTTAATTTGATTCGGAACCGTCCTGGTGCATAGCATTGCATATTTATTGTAACCAAGTCAATAAGTTCTTTTGTTGGCTTTTCTTTAGAAATGTATAAGCGTAGAATACGATTTGCTCATGTGAGCCACCGGGAATGATAAATGTTTCCGGGAGAATGTTTAGATATTTCATTTGAAACATCTTCTGATTAAATAGACAAATAGATACTGTAAATATATTTTTGATCTGAACTTAATTCACTAAAGATACTATCTAGAGTTAAATGAAAAGAACCACTGATTTTTTAAAAGGAACTACTGCTAAAAAAAAAAAAAAAAAAAAAAAAAAAAAACTGCTAAGTCCTCTGTTATTTTTTCACCAATTTCTCCTTTAAGTAATCCTGAGCTAGAAGTTTTTCCATCAATCAACTCAAATACATGTTTAAAGGGAAGTTCATTTAAATGTAGTTGACAAACGAGCCATTGCATTGGTCTTTCGAGTTCTGTTTCAATTAATTTTATCACCCCTCCAAATTTTCCAGTATTTACTACAGTTGCATCACATAAGAGAGCATTTAATAAGCCGCTGCTGCCAGTTTCAAATATTAAATCGAGAATTTCATTAGCAATGCTGCGAGAAGTTCCATTATAAGTATTAGATGATAAATAGCTGCTGCTTGGTTCTCTAACAATTGTGATATGTTTTTCTTTAATTACCCCTGCATTTGTTATTGTATTGTCTTTTCTTCCATCAAAACCAATACATTGTAATTTCAAGTTTTTGCATTTTATCTCGTTTACATTTTTTTTGTTCAACACAAAGTCTTTTTCTTTCTACTTTTTCCTTATTAAACAACCATGTTAAACAACCCTGATTTGCTGCGGTTGTAGCGCGTACCATTTGGGCCTCCAACCGTCCAACTGCTGTACATATGTACCGCCTTAACACAACAGATGTAGGCAGGACTTTACCATCAGCAGCTACCGCGTACATTATTGATGTGACAGACTTGCTGTGGTTTAGTACGCGTTCAGGAAAATTTGTCCCACGTTTTGTTATGACTTTTTTCCGTCCGGGATCATCGGACAGATTAGTCTCATCGTAGTTAACAATATTTTGATCTCTTTATGTTTTGGCACATCCCCACCAACAATTCATTCCGATGACAAAGCAAAAATGATTTCGCAAACTCGGCTCCAGGCATATTATTATTTAACCTGGTTACAGTCTGCCCTCTCTTATCCAAGTATGTCTTGACTAATAGTCTCAGGTCATAAGAATCCATGGGATAGCCCCACTGAGAACAAGTCACATGTCTTTCTACAATAATTTGTTCAACTTAAGTGCAATTTGACCACCTTGGGGTTTCAAGGTGTCATTCTTTATATGTCTGTAAATGACAGTCTTCAGAATACCAAATTTGTCCGCAGCTTTTCTATAGCTCATACCTTTTCTCAGAGCTTGGAAAGCATTTTCCAATACCTCCATATTTACTTTTTTGTATCTTTTGCTTCTGGGTTGGGCTTGTAGTTCCTTGGCATGATTACTTCCAAAAAATAATTTAAGTTATTTTTTGGAAGTATAAATCTTTAATGGGAGTGGAATATAAATATAAATCTTTAATGGGAGTGGAAATATAAATCTTTAATAGGAGTGGAATATTATAGAAGTTATAAGCGTGTTTCTAAAATTGTGTGCTTTTTTTGTAAGTACTTACAAAAAAAGCACACAATTTTAGAAATACGCTTATAACTTCTATAATATTCCACTCCCATTAAAGATTTATATAGCAATGGAAATAAGAAACTTCGACTATTAATAAAACAAGGTTATATAATGATATTTTTATTTACCTGATGGTCCCAAGTCCTAAGTTTCTTCGGATGTCCAAAAATACAAAAATATTGAAGCTTGAGTTACAAAACAACTGATCAAGTTGGCCGTGAAATCTAGACATAAAGAAGGCTTTTTTAAAGGAACCTTGTGTTTACTTGCAACTGCTAAAAACCGCATGTTTCTAACTAAAAAAGTGCGGCAAATACAAATTTTTAAACAAATTCAATGATTTGTGTTCCTATTCTCCTCGCTGTTTCCATTCACCCCATCTCACGGTATTTATTGATTTGCCACCTGTATATTTTATATTTAGTAAAAATGTTATTGATTGTTATATTGCTAAATATTAAAAAAAATGTAAAATGATCTGATAAGTATGTTTTGATTATATTTGTGAAAATATAGTTGTTATAAAAATTGTCAGTGATTATATATACCACATTATTAACATACCACTGTATCTCTATCTTGACATATGCGCAACATTCTCCCCGTTTTTTAATAATTTAAAAATTTTATGCTTTTTTAAAAATTCTCTTCATTTCGTCTGTTATAGCAATATCGTTTTAAATACTATATATATATATATAACATCTATAAAACTTCAAAAACTTTTTATTCTGTATATAAAAATCAAAAAAATTGTGCAAGCGCAAGGATATAGTTCAAAAATGCTGCAAATCAGTTCAAAAATGCTGCAAGCTAACCACTTCTAAAATTAAGGCGTATTGTTCGATAAAAGTTTTACCACTATTTAATAAACAAAAGACTTTATAAAACGGCAAATGAGTGCTATAAATCAAAGTTAAGGAGATGATGTCGTGGCAATTGTCGTGAGGTGTCGTGGCAATTATCGCGAGGTGTCGTGGCAATTGTCGTGAGGTGTCGTGGCAATGCAAATTTCAAGTTAAAGTAAAACTGTAAAACTTCAGATTTTAAGATTATTTTGAGGTTTATAAAAGTTACTTATTTGCATACACTTTCGATCACATTTTCTTATAAAAAAAAAGTGCTGCAAATTTTTCTTTTCTTAACTTGGTTGCAATAACTGCCGTGTCACGCTCGAATGGGCACTACTAACAGCACTATTAAGTTCGGCAATAATGTTTAATAGGGCAAGTCATTATTCAATTATATACAATAAATACTTAGGCCACATAAACTGTAAATGTGTTGTCCTTTTTTTAAAAGTAATGCAGAAAAGAAAAAAAAAAATTACTTTTAGGTTCAAACCTAAAATTAAAATTTTTCCAGATTCTGCAAAGCCTACTTGCCACGTTTAACCAGCCTACATGATTGTGGAGACCAACTTGAATTTCTTTAAATCTTCTGGCATTATTCTCTGTTATATATATATATATATATATATATATATATATATATATATATATATATATATATATATATATATATATATATATATATATATATATATATATATATATATATATATATATATATACATATGTATATATATATATATATATATATATATTCTATTTGCTAAGTTCTTTTTCCAGTTTTCTTCCTTAATAACTTTTTTCTTGTTTGAAAGCATTTTTAAAATCTTGAACATCCATTTGCATACTACTTTTTGTTAAAATACTTCTTTAAGTCATCTCTTAAGATTTCTTAACTGAAGTTCTATTATGGGAACTTTGTTTTCTCTCTTGCATTGATAAGAAATATGAGTTTAAAAAACACTCGACTCAACCATCAATAAAGAACTCAAAGTTTACATCAATTTATAAACAATACTTGTCGAGGATTTAACTTGTCAATTCAATTGCAGCATTTCAAATGCAACATCTTATAAATAATATTTCACAACTTATAAAATAATAATACTTCATTTAACTTATTTCATAAATTAAATTTTAACATAAATATCTTTTCTTAACAACGCAAGATTTTACAGCAAAGTTAATAACAAAAATATCTTAGTATCTTAGTAACGATCTTAGTATCTTAGTAACGATATTAATAAACTTATAAAATTATAATTTTTCAAGTTAAAATAACTATTTAGGTGTCTATTAAGAGTTTTTGTGATCAAGGATTCCATTAGAGACGTTTTTAAGTCAATCAAAATAACCGGTCAAAATGCAAAATAGATTAAATAATAAATAGATGCCGAAGACTAATAACATATTCACCGTTCCACTTAGTAATTTATGCTACTGAGCAAACAACTCATCCTCATTCAACAATGATTGGCTAGACTATCTGCTTTACATATGTCGAACCAGCTACACGTCATATTTTGCGTAAAATTAATTCATGGATTTATCAAAATCTGCGTTACTCAGCTACCAACCACACTGCAAAGACAAAGGCAATAGATAGGGTGGAGTCGGTACTTACAGATTATATTGTATCATATTCACAGACTTCAACTTTTCTACTTCGCTTCTACAATCTTGAATTATATGGAACCAAGCAAACAACGCAAAAATATCAACATACATTGACGCTGTTAATTGGGAAACAGTGTTTAAAAGTGTTAATTGGAAAAAAGTGTTTAATGTTTTAAATGCAAACAATTACTACTAGATTCTAACTTTGCCATCAAATTACACATCCCGCCAATAACAACTCATTTTACTGAGAAACAGTATGCATACTTTTAATATGTTTTGTAATACGCTCATGCATACTTTTAATATGTCTCTCAAACAAAGAATCTTTCCTAATAAACTTAAACTTGTAAGGCTGGTACCAGTTCTTATATCTGAAGATGTTTCAAGCGTCTCCAACTAAATCATAGCATTATCTTGAAGCTAAAACCATAAGAAATAATTGCCTACTTAATAATGCGAGACTTTTATTAAATCAATCTTGTTTAAAACTGCTGCGTTTCTCCTTCATTCATAGTTATGTAAATAACGCGAATAAAGCTTGGTGTGGCACCAATCGAAACAAAATTAAAAAACCATTTAATAAAAAAAAATTTGCAGTTAGAATATTATCTAATTACAGTTTGCCAATTTCGGTGCTAAACCTTAATCTGAGGACCAGAAAAATGACAATATGTCCATTAATCTAGAGACACTCGTGTTTCATTTGGCATAAAAATTAAAATCTGGTTACACCTTCCAAAAGTAAAAATTTAGTTTGAATTTAGATGGTCTCTGCAACATTTTCTACATAAAAATAGGTTAAATAAGATGATGGGTAAATACCTACCTATGTTCCCTTTGATAATATAAATGTCATTCTTCACAGATTTTATATGTTCTTGTTAAAATAGAACCATTTTTAATGTTTTTTTTCAAATTGTTTTGATCCTATTTAAGGCTCATGCATACCAAATAGAAAGCAAAATATTATTAGTTTTTAACACTTCGATTAAAATAATACAAACAGCATCACAACTTTTAAAACAGCATAAAAACATAGAATATTCAAAGAGCTTTTAGTATAAAAAAGAATGGAGCAATTATCTTTTCATTTGACTTATGGGGCTTTAAAGTGAGACTACTAGAGGAACTGTTTTTACTGTTTTTGAAGAAATTTTTATTAATTTTTTCAAATTTTAATAATTTTTGTACTTGTAAATGTATTTTTTGCTAAATAAAGTCATAAGGATACAAAAGTAAGGTAATAAAAACTTGGGTTGCCTACTGCTTTATTTATTGCTTCTTTAAGTATTAAGCTTGCTTGTATACAATAAAAATTTAAGTCAAAGTAACGAATGCATTATGAAAAGTTTTATTTTTATTATGATTTCATTACTATAAAAACATCATTAAAAACTAGAACCTAATCATTTACAAAAAAACCAAAGATCTTTATTTTTTTCATTCAATCTAAAGATGCTTGTTGTTGTTTTCATTCAATCTGAAGATGCTTGTTGTTGTTTTCATTCAATCTGAAGATGCTTGTTGTTGTTTTCATTCAATCTAAAGATGCTTGTTGTTGTTTTCATTCAATCTAAAGATGCTTGTTGTTGTTTTCATTCAATCTAAAGATGCTTGTTGTTGTTTTCATTCAATCTAAAGATGTTGTTCTTGTTTTCATTCAATCTGAAGATGCTTGTTGTTGTAGTCTATATTATCTCGCAGCCAAACAACAGTTTGGTTAGGGATTGTCCGAACCTCATTTGTACCTTGCACAGTGGGAGCTGAAAACTGAATGATGTGCCTCAGGTGATTGCTATTTATAAAACTTTATATACTCAATGTCTACTAACTAAACATTTATCATATTTTACTTTTTATTTCAAGATTAATGCAAAAATAACACTTAAATAACACAAAAATAACACCTAATATTTTCAATTCGTTATTCTTAATTAATAAGCATAGGTATACTTAACCAGATACTCAAACAACATAGCCCAAAAGCTTTTTTGCCTCAATTATGCCTATTAAACTTAACACTCTTTAATTTTTTATAAAATGCAAAGCAAATTTGAAGCAAATGCTTCTGGTTAGGGACGGAGTGTGTGACTTCTTTTGACAATGTTTAGGTGGTACAGATAAGCTTTTTAAGTTATTTTAAAATTTATCTTTGTCAATCTAGTGTTGCTATGGTTGAATCGAGCTTAAATGTATTTTTTTTATTATTTAGGTACATATTGATTTTGTTTTTTACAATAATATTAACAAGTATTTAATATTGATTATTTAAAATCTTTTTTATTTTTATATAAAAAAATTTTAACCGATTTTATATTTATATTTTTTGTAACTTTTAATCTTATTTTTTTGAAAGTAAAGTTATAGCGTATAAATTTATTATATTATATTTGCAAGTTATATATATATTATTATTGTAAGTATATATTGTTATTGCAAGTTATGTGTTGAGAAAATTTATTTTTATTTTTATATATTTATTTTTTTTTTTTTTCTATGAGCATGTCAATTCACTTTTTTATTTTACGAGTTATTACATTATTTTAAATGGAATTTATTAAATATTGTGACATCTTTTGATATTTTCATAGTCTTAAAACTATATATATATTTTTTTTTTGTTTTTTTTTTTATTTTCTCTTTTTTTATTTACACTTACATTCTCTATTCCTTTGTAACTTTTTATTTTATCTTTTCAAAAAGAAAGTGTTACATTACATTAGTATTAAATTGTGTTTGTTATATTAATTACAATTACAATTAAAGTTACACGGTACAGATATGAACCGTAAGTTCATCATTAGCTAGCGAGCTAGCTCGCATAGCTGCGATAATAGAGCCACGGAAAATGATGGACTGTGGTAACTATGTGAGTAGCTGGTCTAGTTTTTTTTTGAAACTGCCAATAGTAGGGGCATTGACAAAATCATCCGGCAGAGCATTCCAAGTATTTGCAACCCGATTGTTTAAAAAGTTAAGTCAAACGAGGCAGTTGCTATTAATTTTGCGATGAAAGCGTTTGCGATGACCGTAGATGGGAGGGATTATATTTTATCAATATGCCAGTTGATTAATTCAGTTTTATTTTCAATTTTGAATTTTTAGATAAGGTCACCACGTTTTTTTCTGTCACTTATTGAAGTTAGTCCATGTATATCACATCTTGTCTTGTAACCAAGGTGTTTTAATTCATGAGGTATTTTTGTGGCACGATGTTGTATTTGTTCAATTTCAGTAATGTCTTTTTTAAGGCGAGGGCACCCGGTGGTGATAGCATATTCTAGATGTGGACGTACGTATGTTGTATAGAGACTTTCACATCTTTGCTAACAAAGCGGTGAATACTTGACTTTTGTACTTTAGATTAACAGATAGTTGAACACCAAGGTCTTTTTCCAATGTTGTTGTTTCTAGCTGGATTCTTTTGACTCTGCTACTGGAGTTGTTTTCATTGATGAAGTAGATGTGAGGGACAGATTTGAATTGGTTGATGTGTATAACTTTACATTTTTTGATGTTAAGTTGCATGAGCCATAATTGGGTCCAATTGACAATAATATCAATGTCAGCTTGCAGACCAAGTTTACTTTCTAAAGTGTTAACTACACTGAGGACTTTTGTGTCATTTGCGTACATTTTGCATTTATTTTTGCTGCTAATGTGTTCTGGTTAGTCATTATTATAGAC